AGCGTTGCATTTAAAGCATGGCCGAGGGCTAGGGGTGTAATTGAGTTGAAACAATTTGGCTTGAGACTTGGCTCATGAATTGAGACTAATAAGCTTGCGAGTATAAGTTCGAGCCAGAATCAAAATTATTAATTAGCTAGTGTGATGACTCGATACTCCAAAAATTAAATTGATCAAGTGTGAATCTTGATGCATAGTTGAGTTTAAAACTCTCAATTCAAGGTCAGAACCATTCAAACTTTGGTTTTAGTAAACTTTAGTTTTGACAAGATAGACTCTTCGACATCAAAAGTAATCTAATCCAATTTCAAATGTGCCCAAATTAACTATTTAAAGCATAATTAAAAATTTTATGTAATTAAACATTTTGGGGCATTAATTATGCAATGAAATGACCTCCAAATATTGTATATCTACAATCAAATCGAGCATCTTGATTAGAAGAATCCACCAAGCCCAATATCACTTAATATCAACATCATTAAGGCATTTTAATGTGAAAATAGTGGTATATAATTTAGGGAATCAATATGAACAGTTTGAGTATTCCTGATCTTAGCTATATTTTTTTGGGTATGTCACTCTAAAAAAATTTGTAAATAGGCCTTTACTCTCTACATGAAAGGGAGCAAGGGAGGTTGCATGAAAGGTTGTGGCTTAGGATTCAAGAAAACACAAGCTCTAAAAATCTCAGAGTTCCCACAAGCCGAGCACCCTTATTCGGCCATTGCCCAACCATCCCCATCAAACCAATACTACTAGACCATTTCTCAATTGTCTCCATAGACCAACCGCCGACTACAACCATTGAACCATTTCTCAACCGCTACCATCGGAACACCACTCAACCGCTATTGTCGAACAACAACCCAATTATGATCTTCCAACCGTCAACACCGAACTGTGATCTCCTAGCCACTGCATGTTGCCTAACTACGATATCCCAACAACCATCGCTCGATTACGGTCATCCAACCATTGTCACCCTCCAACTACTGTTGTTGTACTTTAATCATTTAATCACTATCACTTGGAGACAATCCTCCAACCACCATCATCGCTCAACTATGATTTTTCAATCATTGTCTAGATTTTCATGTAGTCTATACACTCAATGGACCTATGAGAAATTACAGTAGGAAATATTGGGTAGTAGTATTGTGGATTTACATATACTTGTGTGGCCTTGGTGATACTTTTTTATTGTTTGGAAGGATAAAGATGTGTGCTTATGTTGATTCTCATTTTGCTAGAGAACTTGATAAAAGAAGATATCTGATAGGGTATGTTATTTCCATTGGTTGTTGTACTATCACTTGGTGAGCTACTTTGCCTTCTAAAATTTTATTGTCTACTACTGATGTCAAGTATGGCTTCTACTAAGACTAGTAAGAAAGTTGTTTGGTTGAAGGGGTCATTTGACGAACTTGGTGAAGACTTACAAATTACCACAGTTGTGTGGTAGTTGAAGGGCTATCTCCCGACAATAAAGTCCAGATGTTTTACGAGAGGATAAATCATATTTGTTGTGTCCTGGAATATTTGTGGCGATAGAGAAACATAAAGTTTAATGTCTTATCTTTGTACAAAGACTCAACACACAAGCAGATAAAAGAGAGGGTATATCATTCATAAGAGACATCATATTTTTTATGCGGAAGCCCCTAAAATGGGGAAAAAGTTAGGGGTCTGGCCCAGTTAGAATGAGTCAACTATTATTTGCAGTTGATTAGAAATGATGCCCTTCATTGGAGGGAAGGCCTTGGCTTGATATATATCACATAGAATGCATTACATGATAAAAATTAGAAGAATCCATATTTATATGTTTGTTTAGTCGGCAGGATCATAGTCGTCGTGCAATGGAGGTTGGAAGGACCATAGTTAGTATGAGACAGGGGTCAGAAAGATTATTGTCTAGCAGTGGAGGTCGAAATGACCGTAGTAGACGACAGGGTCGGAAGGATCGTAGTCGGCATGAGACAAGGGTTAAAAAGATCGTTGTCTGACAGTGGAGGTTGGAAGGACCGTAGTAGGCGACAGAGTCGGAAGGGCCGTAGTCGGCATGAGATAAGGGTCAAAAAGATTGTTGTCAGGCGATAGAGGTTAGAAGGACCGTAGTAGGCGACGGAGGTCGGAAAGGCCGTAGTTGGCAAGGACAATGCTTAGAAAGACCGTTGTCGTAAGGTGGTGGTCTGATGGAACTTCGGCGTCACGTGGTGGTCTGGTGGAACTCCGGGTGACACGTGGTGGTCTGGCGAAACTATGTGCATCAGGTGGTGGTCCGGTGGAACTCCGGGCGTCAGGTGGTGGCCTGACGGAACTCTATGCATCAAATGGTGGCCCGACGGAACTTCGGCGTTAGCGGTGGTCCGGCGGAACTCTGGGCTTCTGGTGGTGGTCTGACGAAACTATGGGCGGTGGTCAAGGAGGAGCGAGGAGGCAAGAACGATCTTCGATCTCTCTCTTGCTTTCTTGCTTAGGGGACCCCTTTTCAATAGGAATGAGGGGTCTATTTATAGATTTCCTAAAGTGGCATAGCCCGTAAATAGGGAGTGGTTTGGATGGACGACCGATGTTGAATCCCTTGATTGTGGACTATTTGCTAGACATTTGAAGGTCTTAATGATATCGGAATTATGTAATCTTTGGCTCATTGGATTTGTCTCGTCGAGCCGCTCGATTCGTCATATGATGGCCAAGTCACTCTCTTTTTCCATGTTTCAGCGTTGTCTGATTTGGTTGGTGTTGTTAATTTGTGCTCTTTGAGTTTTTTTTTTTCGTTTGCAGAAATAATGGAGAATGTTATGTCAAAGATTAGAGTCTCGTTTTCATTTCTTATTTTAAGAATTCTTTTCAAAATTAAGATTGTTAGAGTTTGTGACATGAATTTTTTTAGGGTTGGTGCTAAGGGTAGATGAAAGAAATAGATTCAACCGTCTAACTTTTCTCAGCGTTTGCATGATCGTAGTTCTAAAAATTATTTGCAAATTGAACTTTTAACAAAATCGAATTTCAAAGGCAAAACATTAAGCTAAGATTTAATGTTTTCATAAACATGAAAGCACAAATTTCAAATAACATTTGTAAAAAAATGAAAAATAAGGATGCAAAGAATTTAAGTAGTTCGAGTTCTTATGAACTCTATATCCACGGTGCAACCTCGATCAAAATGGATACAAGACATATATATAGAATTTGCTTGAACTTTCCAAGAACAACATTCACTCAGTTGAACTAAAAAACTTGCTTAAAATAATAAATAGCACCACCACACATAAAATCTAAACAGATATTTACAATAGCCGCAAGAAACAGATGCTAATAATCTCAATCAATTTCACCAACAATATCTAAAAAGATCTTTGTAAGAACAACAACAAGAGACTTCTATAACATAAAGGAAAACCAATAAAAAATGGAAAAAATAGGGAACAAAACACCCTAATCGAGAGCAGCAAAGCAAGTCACAAATCTTTTTCTTCTAAATAAAAGAAATATACTTGCATTTTCAACATATAGCTTAATATTGCAAAAAAACAAGTTCTTATGGCACAAACCCGACTTTCAACAAATAATTGCATACGATTGCTTTTCTCGGAGAAGAAGAACAAGCTAGAGATGAATAAGATGTATTCACCTTCTTCACACACACATAAATCCACCGATGTCAACTCCTCGTTTCTTCTCTCTTGCACAATAAATCCAACACATACAATAAATCCAACAACACCTTATTAAACAAGAGAGTGACATTTTATTATTATTATTATTATTATTTTAAGTTGGGTGGGAAGAAAAATCTTGATGACGCACACGAAGATACATTTCTATATACATAATATTTTTTGTCCACCCAAAAAACATTTTTAATAAGAACACAAATCAATTTTATGTACTTTATTTATAACAAATTGAGTATGAGCTCAATTACAAGAATGAGTTTGAAAAAAATAGCATCCGTTATAAACACCACATATGTTCAAAGCCGTAAAATATTTCTTCACAAATTATAGAACACAGCCTGCATCAAGAAAAATTATTAAGAGTGGTCATCAGACAACGTTCAAGGGTGAATCAATAAACGTTATGTAATTTTTTTTTGCTATATACCGGTATTATGTATTGCTATGAACTAGATATTCAATTACTGAACAGAATAGTTTCTCCTGCATCAGAGCTCACTGATCTCTAACTAAAATAGACAATAGCAACAAAGCATCAAATCTCGTCATAATATTCTAATTTCAATAAAGACAGGAGAGAGATAATTTTTTCTTAAGTGGTTCCCACAGATTATTCTAATGTTTTTTGGGGGGTTAGAGAGAGAAATTTTCAAAGTTCCAAAAGAAAAAAAAAATCCTCTTTAAAGTGAGAAGGGAATCAAGTTACCTCTCTCAGAATGATGGAAGAATGCTAAGCTTATCAGTAATGGAATGAGTCAGAAATTTATCACTTTAAACTCAATACAATCTTTTATGATTTTCAACCACTATTTTTTAGAAATTATTCTATGCTGTCACTTGATTATTCAGAGACAAATTAGAGCGCGTCAAGTTACCCAGTATATCGTACGGAGACAAGTCAAAACGCGCCAAATCACCCGGTAGACAACAACGATACACAACAAAAATGCAACGTGGTTCGCTCTGATTTGCCTGGAGACGTCGTCGTCCGATGACAGCACAGAATATTTTTTTTTTTCCTAAAAATTGACACATTTCATCCCTGCACTTAAATAAATATACAATTTGGTTGGACCTTATAAGAATTAGAGTAAAATAAAGTAAAAAAGGTGTGGAAAATATCAAATTAATTGTTATTCATTATTAAACAAAACATGAATTAGGAGTTTTTTTATTTCCCTCGCTTTGTCCAATCCAGACATAACCTTAACCTTAGAAGAAAAACCTACTGCCCGTTAAAAATGACATATTTACTTTACTGTAAATATATGATTTTTATCTGTTATAAAAAAAGAACAGCAACAAAGTTCAAAATCCAACAACAAATATTTACAGAGAATTAAAAAAAAAACTCAATTAGCCTAATTACAAAATAAATAGAGCTTATATGCTCCACGAGCTACAGATAACCTAGGTTTAGAAAAGGTTTAAGGCAAAAAATAAAAAAGAAAAAAATAATAAAGAAAAGAAAATGCCCTAAAATGGATGGTGCGCCCGGCTGATCCCATTCACTCTGGCGAAGAATCCCACGATTTCAGGTTTATACGGCAAATACGACTTCCGGCCGGTGGCGTGGCCGCTTTTCGCCGTCGATCCGTTACCGCTATGGCCGTAGAAAATCCGATGAGCAGTTAACAAATCCAATTCCGTCGCCTTCTTCTCCTTTCCCTTCCTCTTCCCTTCGTTCGCTGTCATTTCCTTCTCTATCGATCTCTTCCCCTCCGCCGCGAGAAACATAAACTTCTCCTTCCCATCGCTATGGCTCCGACCGACGACAAAATCCCTTATCCGACGTCGCCGAGATGATCCCGTCGAGGAACTTTTCGGTACCGTACCCGGCGAATGCGCCGACCCTGGCTTCCAAACGCAGTAACTAGCAGCCGGGATTCCTTCCAGATCGTGCCCTAAAGACGAAGAATCATGAGAAATCGATGCGTCGCGATCCTCGATTAGGAGCTGGAGAAGGGGCTGCCGACATGATTTCTCCACATCGTCGGCGAGGAGTAGACCGCGGTTGAAGACGGGATAGACGGGGCGGATTCGGCCTTCGGAGAAAATTTCGTCGGCTGTAATTGACGGGTGGGTTTCTGAGTTCCCTACCATGAAGGCGAACTCGAAATCGTCGTCGTCGTCGTCAACGTTCTCGGGTGACGCTGAGGCGGCGGCATGCAGCGCAGCTGAGATCTGCTGGGGGGAGTCGGCGGAGGCCAAATCTTCGTCCTCCGGAGGTGTCGCCGGCGATTCATTTTTTCTCTCGTCGTCGCTCATTGTTCACTTCAGTTTTCCAATCTCGATGGACCTCTGGAATGCGGTATGGGAAGACGGCGTTAATAAAGGAGAAAGGGTGAGTGGTGACGTCAGCATTGACGTGTCCGTTCAGGTTGCTTGTGAGGCGGGTCACATGCTTAACCTCGAGGGCGGTGTGATTGTGGGTCAGTGGGTGGACGCAACACCGTGGGAGTCGTTGAGAGTTCAAAAAGGATGAGGCTACATGTAGCCAACTGTCAATGACGGCGCGTTTCACGTTTTACCGTAATATATTTTTAAAATTATTGAATATTAATATTTTTATTAGTATATCAAAATATATATTTATGGAAATATTATTCAATGTTTTTAAAATTATTGAATATTATTTTTGATGCATCGTCAAAAAAGTATCTTGATTGGGCACGAATCTTGATGCAAAATTAAGTTGGAAACTTTCAAAATTAAAATTGGGATCATCCAAACTCCGATTTCAACAAATTTACAATCAAACTGAACATCTCGAGAATATGAACCCAACGACACCAAATCTAACCCGATCCAACCCGAAATGGGTCCAAATCAAGAGTTAGAAGCACTATTGGAAGGTTCGAACCACAATTTGGATTACCAAACGGTTTCCAAATATGACATGCCTATAGTCGAATCGAGCGGCTCGACGAGAATAATCCAATTAACGAGCCCAAGATCACCAAATTCCGACATCACTAAGACATTCAAATGTCAATCAAACGGCCCTTGATCAAGGGATTCAACATCGGCCGTCCATCCAACCACTTCCCATTTATCCTTGATCTCTCACCTATTTATGGGTCATGCCATTTCAGAAATCTATAAATATGCTTTCTCTTGAAAAAGGACCCAAGAAAGAAGAGAATAAGATAAGAGAATGAATAGAAAGAAGAGAATAAGATAAGAGAATGAATAGAAAGAAGAAGCTCCTCCTCGACTACCGTCTGATGTTGTTGCACCGCCGGACCACCACTTGAGGCCCTCACCCTCGCCAGACCACCACCTGATGTCCTCACCTTCACCGGACAACCACCTGAGACCCTCACCTTCGCCGGACCACTACTTGTGGCCCTCACCTTCACTGGATCACCACTTTATTCCCTCACTCTCGCCGGACCACCACCTGAGGCCTTCACCTTCACTGGATCACCACTTCCGGCCCTCACCCTCGCCGGACCATCACATGAGGTCCTCACCTTCGCCGGATCACCACGTGAGGCTCTCACATTCGCCGAACCACCACGTGAGGCCCTCACCTTCGCCAGACCACCACTTGAGGCCTTCACCTCCGTCAGACCACCACTTGAGGCCCTCACCTCCGCCAGATCTCCACTTAAGGCCCTGAGCTTCGCCAGACAACCACTTGAGGCCCAGACTTCTGCCTAACCACCACCTAAGGACTGGACTTCCAAGTGACACTAGATATTTGACACCAGACTACAACGATACGATCGATATTTGTAATTTGATCGCCCTCAAGGACGAGTCAATTCACTATCTCGATTCAAATTCTAGTGAAATATTTTCAACTAGGCAAGGCCCCGTGATTTTTTCCTTTTCGAGAATTTTCCACGTAAAAAATCTTGTGTTCTCTGTGTGTGAGTTGGATATCCGTGCAACGCTAAGACGTAGAATCTAAACTCAATCGCCTCGTATATTCTAGCCCGCAAAAATTTTAATATATTAAATTTTACTAAGAAATTATCCAATTTAATTGATGTTAATCTAAGAAAATCATCAATCAATAAAATATGTTATTTAATAAATTTATAAATTATATATGTAAGTGAAAATTATAAATTCTTATTTTTTTGATAAAAAATAAAATTGTTTTAATAGAGGAAACAAAATGCAGATGAGAACTCTGTTCGGAAAGAATCGCATGACACCCAATTATTAAAACTAAAATAGTAATAATTATTATTTAAGATTATTGTAGTGGATTAAAAGGCAGAGTCGTCATTCAAGCTCTTTTGCTAATAGCCACGAAATATTTAAATTCTATTAAATTAATATGTATTATAAGTGTATTTTAGCTCTATATTTGATTATCATCAGCTTAATTTGAAAAACAAATTAAATGATGATATTTTCACTCAAATTTGACAATGGCAAATTTTATAGTTATTAAATTTGGCATGAGACGTGTAAAATTACTTTTAATTGATAAGTTGTATATCATTTTTACCTAAAATAAATTTAAGTTTTATAAATATATCTTTATGAAGTTTAAGCTAGGTATTTTGAACCAATTTTTTCTTTGTTTAAATAGTCAATTATTTTTATTTGAATATCTTAATTTGAGTGAGAACGTAGAATAACATCTTAGTGTTGCATCATGGAATATTTGAGGCGGAAGAGAGATAATGATCTTAACGTCTTACTTTTCATACAAAGATCCAACACAAAGACATACAAGTTGGGGGGGGGGGATTATAAGGCACATCAAAAATTTTTATGTTGAAAATCCTTAAATGAGAAAAAACCACGGGCTATGCTCGGTTTGAATGTATCCACTATTATTTGTTGTTAATTACAATTGATTCCCTTTCTCGACAAAACATGTTGGATCAATGTATAAAATACACATAATATAGAATACTTTACATGGTTGGGGATTGAAGAATTCAATGATATGAGAGTTGTTCTCAAGAGAGTGTTGGTTTGTTCATTTGGTTAGTAAGATCGTATTTATGAGACAGAGGTCGGAGGGATCATAATTGGCTGGTTACAGATGTCTAAAGGATCATAGTTAGACAAAGGTGGTCGAAGGGACCGTAGACGACATGCGATGGAGGTTTGAAGGATGGTAGTTGGGTGACGGTGGTAAACATTACTGTAATTGTGCGACACTAGTCAAAGGGATTATAAACGACAGGCAATGGATGTCAGAAGGACTGTAGTCAGGCGGTGATGGTCAGAGGGATTGTAATCTGCAGACAATGGTGGTCGAATGAAAGTAATTGGAAAACAATGGTCTAAGGGATCGTAGTCGGCAAGTGATGGAAATCGAAGGATCGTATTTTGGCAAAGGTGATAAGAGTGACCATATAGACAAGTTTCGGAGGTCAGAAGAACTGTAGTTTGGCGACTGTGGAAAGAGTGACCATAGAAAAGGCATGAAATAAGTCAAAAGATCGTAGTCGATCAACGGTGAAAATCCTTAAATGAGAAAAAAAACGGGCCTTGCTCGGTTTGAATGTATCCACTAATGTTTGTTGTTAATTACAATTGATTCCCTTTCTCGAAATAACATGTTGGATCAATGTATAAAATACACACAATATAGAATAATTTACGTGGTTGGGGCTTAAAAAATTCAATGACATGAGGGTTGTTCTCAAGAGAGTGTTGGCCTGTTCATTTGATTAGTAAGATTGTATTTGTGAGATAGAGGTCGGATGGATCATAGTTGGCTGGTTACAGAGGTCTAAAGGATCATAGTTAGACAAAGATGATCGAAGGGACCATAGACGACATGCGATGGATGTTTGAAGGATGGTAGTTGGGTGACAGTGGTAAACAGGACTGTAATTGGGCGACACTGGTCAGAGGGATTATAAATGATAGGCGATGGATGTTAGAAGGGCTGTAGTCAGGCGGTGATGGTCAGAGGGATTGAAATCTTCAGACAACGTTGGTCGAATGACAGTAATTGGGAAACAATGGTCTAACGGATTGTAGTCAGCGAGTGATGGAAATCGAAGGATCGTATTTTAGCAAAGGTGATAAGAGGGATCATAATAGACAAGTTTCGGAGGTCAGAAGAATTGTAGTTGGACGACTGTGGTAAGAGGGACCATAGAAAAGGCATGACATAAGTCAAAAGTTCGTAGTCGATCAACGGTGGTCAGAGGGACCATAGCTAGAGGACGTCGATGGCTAGAAAGATCATGGTCGACCAATGGTTGTCGAATGGATCGTAGTCGGCGGGTGATGGAGGTCGGGCAGAGAGCTCGCGGTGACTTCCAAACAGAGGTACGATGATGATGGTCGGGTGGAGGTTGAACAATATTGCACGGGCTGTGATGGTTCGTCAGTGATGGTGACAGGATTGAGCTTCGAGATTCTTCAAGCGTTAGAGCTCTTTTAAATCTCTAGCCCGTGGGACCATAGAAGATGGGCGATAGAGGTTAAAAGGATCGTAGCCGGGCGACGTTGTTCGAAGAGATTGCAATTCACAAACGAGGGTGGTCGAAGGACTATAGTTCGACGAAGGTTGTCGAAGGGACTGAATTCGCGGGCAACATTGGCCGAAGGACCGTAGTGGGCCGACGAAGGTCGAGCTGCTCGATTCGACTATAAGCATGTCATATTCTGGAGTGTTTTTTAAACATTTAAGTATTTAATAATATAAGAATTAAGTGATCTTAAGCTCGTCGGATTCTCTTGGTCGAGCTGCTCGATTCGACTATAAGCATGTCATATTCATATATTATTTGGTCATCTTATTAATACTTTGAAGCTCTCAAATATGTTTTTTTACTTTGTTTTGGGCATATTTGAGCTTGGATTGGACTTAATTTGGTCTTGTTTGTTTAGACTCCATGAGATGTTTAATTTTATTATAAATTTGTTGAAATCAAAGTTTAGATAGTCTGAAATTTAATTTTGGAAGTTTTTCATTCAGATTTGTATCAAGATTCACACTCGATCAAATGACTGTTGGCCACGTATCAGCTAGATTATTTTTCTCTTTTATTCATCTTTCATTTATCATTCAATGAATAACAGTCTGCAAAATAATTTGATGCTTTGCATATCTCTGGTGACATTTGAAAAATTGAAGTTACAAAGTCATCTTCAGTCAAAATTTGAAAACTATTATGCAATTTCAAAATTGTCAATAATAATTTTTTTTTACTTTTTTGTACGTTTGTTCTGCAACCACCATAAGCATTCAATCATGGCTTCTTTCACGTTCAAGTATTTTCTTAACTCACACTTGCTGATCCTATCCCATATCAGATAATTAAGATTATCGTTTGCTCTTACTGATTTAATTAAATAATTAAGCCCATCAAGTTTATCATTAGTATCTAATATCTATCTATACACCCACAGAGTTTCATCATTTACAA